TGCACTTTATCACGACTTTTCAACCACAGATGGATGGTCAGAGCAAGCGGCCTATCGAGAATATGGAGGATATATTGCGGGCGTGTTTCCTAGACTTCGATGGTAGCTGGGATACCTACCTTCCATGGGCAAAGTTTTACTACGATAATAGCTACCAGATGAGTATCGACCGTCCTCCCTTCGAGATGGTATACGGGAGTAAGTGCAGAACCCCGATATGCTGGGGTGATTTTGGAAAAAGGGTCATGGGGAGTACCGAAGTGGTACTAAAGACGACGGAGAGGATACAGCAGGCCAGGAGCATGCTCCAGACTGCTCAGAGTCGGCAGAAGAGCTACGCCGACATACATTGATCGAACCTGGAGTTCTGGGTCGGGGATATGGTTCTCCTGAAGGTGTCACCTTGGAAAGGTGTCATTTGGTTCAGGAAGCGGGGCAAGTTGGGTGCCAGGTACATTGGTCCTTTTAGGGTTGCAACCAGGGTGAGCAAGGTGGCGTATTGGTTGGATCTGCCAGCCGAGCTTAGTAAGATCCACAACACCTTTCATGTCTCCCAGTTGTGGAAGTGCTTGGTAAATGACTCCACGATGGTACATCTAGAGGATATTTAGGTGGACGACAACATGAATTACATCGAGCGGCCGGTATCCATCCTCGATAGGAAGATTAGGGATCTGAGAAACAAGAAGGTCGAGATGGTGAAGATGCAATGGCAGTAGCGCAAGGGCTCAGAATGGACCTGGGAGCCGGAGGACGAGATGAGGGAGCACTACCCCGAGCAATTTCCAGATCCAAAAGACTTCAAGGACGAAGTCTAAAATAATTGGGGGAGATTTGTAACGCCCGGTTCCCAGTATATATTTTAATAAGAATTATTCATTTTTGTAGAGGGACTCGAAGAATTAGAGGTCCCAAACTCGTCGAGTAGGAATGGGACTTTTGGATGCGGGACTTCAAGTCTACTCGATGAGTCGAGAAACCTCAACTCGACGAGTAGGGCTTCCAGAGTGAAACCCTAATTTTTAGGGTTTTCACCCTATTTAATGACCTTAACACCCCCATTGTGGCCTCCCTCATCGCCTCCTATAGTCTAGCAAACCCTAATTCGTGATATTGGGCTTTGTGAGTGTGTGAGAGTGAAAGAGGAGTGATTCTTTGGTGTTTTCTTGATGGAGTGGAAACTAGAAGTGCTTGGTTGAAAGGAAGGCACTTTGGATCCATAAGAAGAACTTCATTTCCAGTTCATTTGAGTAAATTCTATACCTTGTCTATTAGTTTACTAGTTCTCTTCATGGGGTAGTTTCAGGCCTTTTTCGAGCATGTTATGGAACTATTCATTGATGCTAGCATGTTTTGGGGTAATAACTTCATATCTAGAGACCTTTAGGGACTACATGGCATAAAGGTGCCAACTTTATGGCCATGGGAGTCCCATGCATCATATGAACCACGTTTTAGGGCTTTTTGAGCTACATAGCCCATACATGAACATAAAGTTTGTAGCTTTACGTGTTATATCGACCCAAGGAGGCCAGATCTATGTTTTGGATGCATTAAGCCCGGCTAAGAATGACTGTATGGATTTGGAATTTGGGGTACTCAACGAGTCGTTCATACGACTCGGCGAGTTGGGTCGTGGTCCCCCAAACCTTTTCTATTACTGAGAAAACTCATTAAGTCTAGAAGATGACTCAGTGAGTTGGATGTGTTTATGGAGTTGAAGATCAAAGAACTCGACGAGTTCGAGGATGAACTTGGAGAGTTGAGAGTAAATGTCCCGACTGATATGAAGAGGAACTAGACGAGTTCAAGGATGAACTTGGTGAGTTGAGAGCAAATTGTCCCAACTAATATTAAGAAGAACTCGATGAGTTCAAGGATGAAATTGGCGAGCGAGTTGTGAGTGAAATGCCCTGACTTGTATGAAGGAGAACTCGTCGAGTTCATGAAAGAACTCGATGAGTAGGATCGAGACTCCAAAGTTTTATGGACCCAGGAACTTGACGAGTTGATGGATCAACTCGGTGAGTTGAGTCAACCAGAAGGTTGACTTGGACACGAAGTTTGACTTTGACCAGGGTGTTGACCTTTGACTTGACCATTGACAAGAGTTAACCCTTAAAAGGGTTATGAGTATGAAAGAGTACTTAAAAGGGATGTTATGTGTAGGAGTTTGAGGAGAGTTGATCTCAGAGCCGAGCACAATTCAGCTACTTCACGACATTGAGGTAAATTACCTTCCAGTAGAAGTATGTCTAAGGCAACAAGGCCCACGCATTAGTAAGTGATTATATTTGAGATGATTGCCTTTGTGATAATTGTCTTGTATGCCACTATTTGTTATGCTTTATGTGCTAGTATGCTATATGATTTTATGACACTTGTAGATAGGGGACTAGTCCCCAAACCCAGTTGAGATATACCGATAGGATAGGTCGGGCACCCCGATATATCTGACGGTATGATATGTTATGTTATGATGTGGTACTTGTAGGGGGTGGAATAGTCCTTGTAGCCAGTTGAAATAGACCGGAGGGTAGCTCGGGCACCTAGATATGCTTGGCAGGATAGGTTGAGCACCTAGATATGCTTGATAAGGGGTAGGTTGAGCACCCTGGTATGCCTGACAAGGGTAGGTTGAGCACCCAAATATGCTCAGCAGGGTAGGTCGGGTACCCAGATATAACTAATAATATGTTTACTGTATGGTACATAGTATGATGGGGGAACTCACTAAGCTTTGTGCTTACAATTAAGTTTTTGTTTTGGGTCCTTCTTTGAAGGGAAAGAAGCCAATACAGTAGCAACACATCACACACACACACACATACGATTTCCGCATATGCGATGCTTGAGATTTATACTCTGACAATGTTACTATATGACGACAAGATTTTGAGACTTATGATCTATGTTTTTTTATGAAATGAAATAACTTGATGATGATTTTTAAATTTTTTTTATAAATTGCTATATGAAAAATGAAATGTTTGGTCCGTATTTTTAGGATGTTACATTTTATTTTATTTTGTAATTACTATTATTATTATAATTTGTCAAATGATAAAAAAAATATAAAATTTTGTGTAATATAAGTAACTTACGTTTGTTATGCGTACTCATTATCTTCTTCTTCTCTTTTATATATTTTTTTAGTATAACAATTTACATTCATTTCATTCTATTATAACATTGTACTTTTAAGAAGACAATGTACTTCAAAGAATCTACCCGATTAGAACATTGTACTTTTAAAGATCTACTCAACATATATTTCATTTTATTTTTACAAAATCTAGGTTTACCATGAAGTGTATGAGTAGAATATGAGTAAAAATGTTGTTTTTTTTAGATATTGGAAGACTACAATTACAAGATAAAGACATATATAGTGGTATGGTTGATCTTGGATAAGGTTAGCTCATGAAGCAGCATAAGGAGGTAAACTTTTATAAATGTTTTCCATTTTGATGTCTTTTTTGTTATTTCGTTTCCTCTTTTATGGTTGTGTTATATGTTGATAAAGATCAAATGAGACTCATATAACTACATAAAACATAAGGTAAAACATAAGGTAAGATGCAATTAGCTATGGACCTCCTTCACATTAAAGATACAACAACAATAACATTTCTTTAAATCTTTTTCTTTTTATAAACCATGCCACCTTTAAGTTGTCATCATAATTTCATAGTTAATAATTAACATTATCTATAATTTTTAGAGGTTGAGGACGGCATATATTTACATAAGAGCATGGGAACAAAGTTGTGAATTGCAAAGAAACTTAACATTTACTTGTCTTCCTCTTATTTGTTCTTTTGTTAGCCATGAGATACAATCTTTTTATATTTTTCATGGTAAGAAAGAGGTTGACTCCATCTTCTTTAAATATATTGTATAATCCTACTTTGTACAAAAGTGAAGATATGATGTTTATATCTTTTAACCATTTATGTAGTGTATATTTTGAGCTCATTTAAATTTGGGAGTAACTCATGTGTATCATTTGATAAGATATATTTTTATAAATGGATCACAGTATATCTTACCATTGACTATGGTACATGAAAGTTACTTAAATAGGTTAACTACTAGATATATCAACTAAAATTAGTGACGACTTTTATGGTCTCTATTCGGAAAAATTAGTAACGATTTTTTATGGCCACAAATTTTGTAAATCAGTGGTGATTTTTAATGGTGACTAAGAATGACAACTTTTTATGATCACCAATTAGAGAAATAATGATGACTTTTTGTGGTTACTAAGTAGATAAAACAATGATGATTTTCATTGATTAGTGACAACATTTAGGGACGAGACAGATCGTCAAAAATTTAGTGACCAGTATAATTTAGTTACTATTTATTGACCGTTTATAAAATATGGTCACTAATAAGTTTTTGTGACGTACCAATAGTACCGACGAAAAGTGACAACCAATAGTTTGGTCACTAAATCATTTAGTGATGACTCTTAAGTGTTAGTTACCTACGTTTTGGTACTAATTGGATTTTTTTTTTTAGTGATCCTCTAGTGATGTAGTTCTTGCAATTTTCAAGGAATCATATTATATGTATTCATACTTTTTCTATTTTATTATAACAAGGGTATATATATTGATAATCAAATATGTTTCACAATATTTGTAATTTTATAGATCCATTACGGTCCAATGTTACGGGTTGGATTTGGTTGATTTGATGCGTATCCGTATGAAGTGTCGAGAAAGTGTTTATTGGATTTAATCTGAATTTAGTATTCATATCACATTAGACCAACTTCAATGGTAAAACACTAAATTGATGAGTTTTAAACACTAAAATGGTGTAATTAATCCAACCATGCACTAAAATAGTATATTTTAGAGGCCAAACTTTTTCGTCTTAATATTTGGTGTTTGAATGTATCACCCACGTTAAAAAGATGTATTTTAATGGACCACTATTTTTAAAACTTACCATGAAAACATGTTACCAAACCCATTTTCAAACATCTCCATCATGTGACATACTGATTAAGCAATTAAGAAATATATTCATAAAGCATATCAATATAGTTCCAACGTATATAATTACTAATTAATGCACCCAACAATCTTTTTAGTTACCAATTCACTCCATAATAAAAGTCAACAAAACAAATATCGCGCAGGGAATTTTCAAGCACGACGCTATACTTTCAAACAAGTATATTCCTTTCCATATAGTTCGCGAATGACTCGATCCTCTTATTTCCTATGACAATTCCACAAATACTCAAGGACAAGCCGGGGGTACGACTTGACCAACGACTTTGGGCTTGATGTTTTTACACTCAGAGGTGGCAGGTCCTCCAGGTCCTTGCAAATTGATGTCAGCAATCTCAAAAGTGTCGCATGTCCCCGGGCTGCAAATAAGCTTCACCGCTACCTTAGTTGTTGATGATCCCTTGATCTTCCTAAAGCTCACATTTGACAACTTGGTTTTTGAGGGTCCTTTCTAGTTGTCATAAACGAAGAATATGTTCAACCCTTTATGTGAATGTAACTAAAGTAACTAAGTAAGTGACTAAGTGTGTGGCAATATGTGTTTGATACCTGGCATTTACCAGAAGGACAATATTCTTGATCGACCAGTATTGGATTTCCTACTTTTTGCATGATTATATCTTCAAAATGCATGTCACTGGCGGTGCCTGGTGTGCCAGCTGGCCAGGACTTGATCCTGACTCCATTGTCAGTGCCGGTGATGGTGCAGTTTTTGATCCAGATTCCTTGAACTGGTAGTTCGCCTGGGTATCTACCGAGGCTTCCAATACTGATGCCATGTCCTGGTCCGCATGTCACTTTGTCGATATGGACGTTCTTGCTTCCATCTCCAAACGAAATGCAATCATCACCTGTTTTGATGTTTGTGTTTGTGATGTTGAGCCCATTTAATCTCCCGATGTGAATTCCATCCGTGTTGAGACTAGTTCCAGGTGCATTAATGGTAACATGGTCAAGGTTGCTATTGTCACAACCCAATATATTCATGTGGAAGAATTTGCTGTTGGTGGATGTTAAGTCTTTCACCACTGCATTCTTGCAGTTAGTCAATCTGATATTCTGAGAATTATAGGAACAGAGAAATGTTATATCATTATAACAGATCAATAAATTTCACATTGTTCTCATTTTTGCACATTTAAAAAGTTGTGAAATCATAAATTTTTTGTACTATCAAGAAAAACTCGGACATTTAAGTTCCATGTGTAAAATAGAAAACTTACCATTTAAATAAGATTTTGTATTAGAAAAGGATTTCAATCTGGCTAATATTTATAGGATATCATAAATTATAAAGCACATTTATCATAATTTATTTACATTTTATTTTGTTATTCATATATGAATAAGTAGTTCAAAATTTTAAAAATGTCGTCGTTTATATCATTTGACGACCATTAATACATAGTTTATTCATATATAAATATACCGTGTGACGAAAGATGATGTAAAAAATATAATTTAGGTAAAAAGTTTTATTACTTGTTGTATTTATATATGAATGATACTTAAACTGTAAAAAGTTTAAACATATATTTTATTCATAATGAATAACGAATACACTATAATAAAAATCTGATCGTTTTCTTCACTTATAAATAAAGAGAGCTGAAATTAAATAAAAAATTTATATTAAAACTAAATCAATATGGATGTCTATTTATAGAGAATAAAAAATTATGAATTTTGATATAATTAAAATATTTTTTTTTTTGATAAAAATAGCTTTCTAAAAATAAAAAAAAATAAAAAAAATGATTTTGTTTATATATTAAGGTAATGATTAACATAGTTTAAGGAAACATGTTTGGTTGAAAAACACATATGTATCCGTTATCCATTTCTATCACTACGTTTAAATGTTTATCACTACGTCTAAATGTGTGGCAGGGAATCATTCCCTCATTTTCAACCTTTTTTTTTCTCAATTGAAACATCATATATATATATATATATATATATATATATATATAGGGTTAAGGTCAAATGAAAACACTATTTAATGTGAGAACGTGAGAACACTACTTTATGTTACTATTATACTATGAATTTAATATGTATAGTATTGTAGTAATTATAATATGAATATACTCAATTTTATACTACTATTCTACTATAAAATTTATATATACATGTAGTAATTTATTAAATTCTAATGTGAATGTTAAATATATGATTGTTCATATATTCGGTGATGAATAATATCATAAAGTTGTATATACAAAATTTTAATGTGAATATTGATGTGTGATTGTTCTTATATTTGTTGATGAATAATGTCATATCGTTGTATATACAAAATTCATAGTAGAATAGTAACATAAAGTAGTGTTCTCACGTTATCACATTAAATAGTATTCTCATTTGAGCTTAAGCTTTTATATATATATATATATATATATATATATATATATATATATATATATATATATATATATATATATATATATATATATATATATATATATATATATATATAAGAAAACAATCACTTACGCCTAAAATCTAGCCTATAAACTAATAAACTTATATATAATACTCTATTTTCCATATAAAACATGGTTAAATCTTACATTCCTACCTTTTAACTAGATCCAATTCGAATTTGATCACTCCAAGCTTTGCACACATTTTGTTAAAATTAACCATTGTCAAATCATTAGTGAGTATGTTCATCTTTTGCTCCTTGAAGTGAACAATTTCAACGATGATTTTCCGTTTTCCACACATTCTCGAATGAAATCGAACTTTTGATAATGTTTAGGAACTTCAAAAAAAGATAAATACTTTCACATATACACATAGAGTAACAACGCAAATAAAAGCAAAATAGGACCAAGTTGGCCTAAATTATTTCAATGAGGTCAAACTCAAAACCCATGCTTAGTTTTCTTAGCGACTATGAAGTTAAAAGAGAAAATAAGGCTCCAAAACTCATCAACAATCTCTTAGTTAGAGGCCATTTATCTAATTTACTATCAGCCAACCATAAACTCCAAAAACCAAATTTCTTTAGGTCTACATATTCTCTTCAAGTCCCTGGAAGCCCAGTTGAAGCTATACACAACTTCAAATCTCTATCGTTATCTATAGGATTCTTTGTACCAAGGATATTTTTTAGATTCAATTTCCCATCACTTATTAGTGACCAGATAAGGTGACACCTCATCCGAAAGAGCTTGTCACGTGGGACTACACACTAATTGCCACAAGACAATACATCATCTTTCATATGTATCCCGAGTTCCAAAATGATGTTCTTTACCCGTATTAGCTCCTTTTTTCTACTTTAATAGTCATCTACTATTCTTTTATAGTTAAAAGAGATTATTGATCCAATAGATTCCAATATTACCGCACAAAGGATTTATCGATCTAGTATATTCCAATTCCCTTACTTCATCGTTTAGGGTTTCTTGTCATCGAATGGTTCATGTAACTTCTCCCGGTAGAGTTAATATTCGATCTGAAATTTTTAAAACCTGAAGTTGTGAGCTTCAAGTTCATTAACCTCAACCATTGCATCATTAGCTTCAATTAAAATTTAAAATGATTTAAGCATTTCACTAAAAGATAAACAATTTCACACATAGATTAATAATGAAAACGAGATTATATTGTTTAACGTGGTTCACATGATTAGCTATGTCGACAGGTAAAACGAGAGAGAGAGAGAGAGAGAGAGAGAGAGAGAGTTTATTTAAACAAAAATACATAAATATTCGTTATGATTGGCATAAAATTCCACATCCAAAACCATTTTGAGTAATTAATTCACAATGCGGTTCTGCCTGTCATCTCAACTTTCTCTTCTTTTTTCTTGTTTTCCATTTTATAGTTATACAAGAAAGAAGATCAGTGTAATTTCATTATATTAAGGGTAAATAATGAACAAACGAAAATTAAAAAACCAATCGGTACCGTAACGTCTTTTACCCTAACTTCTTTTACCTTAAGAGTTTCCTATCCTTGTTATGTCTTTGGTGTGGCATGGGAGGATGGGAATTGATTTTTTTTATTCGGGTTGCATAATGTAGTCATTATTTTTATTTTGGAATTTATCGGTATGTCTAGAAGTCACATATGGTGTCAGGTTTTAGATTTCGGTCTGAGTAAAGGTGGTCTTTGTTGATTAATTAAGGTTGGTATGACAAGGTTCTCTTCTTTGTCAGGGTAAGTGATTTATTGATGATAGCGTTGGTAGGCGATTGACTGTATTAGATGACTTATGTGTCCTAATGAGAAGTCAGGAAGTTCAATTAGGATCTGGATGTGTGGTAGAGAGAGTCGTAAGGAGTGATTTCGAGGACGAAATCTATTTTAAGTGATGGAGAGTTGTAACACCCGTTTTCTAGGATGGATCGATTTAGGGTATCGAGGAGTGAAAAGGTTGATTTTTGCAGAAAATCAAGTGTCACGACATGACCAGTAGGTAGTGACGACATGACAAGATGGATGTTCACGTCGTGATGTCGGCCCAAAGGATTGTTTGTGACTGAGTTGGCTGAGTTAGAGCGAGTCATGTTGGAATCGGGTCGAGTGAACTCTTACGATGTGACCAAGGGTTAGGCCACGACGTGAGGATCATTGGTTGATATTATGGGTTGTTGACTTTCACTTTGACCATTGACTTTTAGCGTAGGTTGACTTTTTGGTTAAATTTCTATTTTTTAGAAGGAAGACTTAGGGTTTATCTTATGTGGCTTGTAGGGGTTGTTATCTTATGTGAATATGTGACTATCATGTATGTAATATTAGATATAAAACTATTTAAATTCACTTCATTTTGATTAAAAACCACAATTTTCTTTCACTTTTAGCTTCTTCCTATTGCTTTTGAACTTATATTATTTTTTATTTAGTAATTCATCCCCAACATATATGTATTTTAAATATGTTTTTTTTTATTAGATTTCTAGTAAAAGCTTCATAACTTTCTCTTACACCTACCTTATGTATTTGCTTTTTTTTTTTTTTTTTTTTTTTTTTTTTTTTTTTTTATGGATTATGAGAATATGTTTATCAAGTTTTTAATGAACAATTTTAATAATTCATTATAGTTTTTTGTAATAAATTTCAATATAACTAACTACACATAGTTGATAAAATATTCTTATATACGGTTTGTGGTGTAATATTAAACTTATAAAATTCAATAAAAAAATATATATAAAAAACCTATTATAAGCTCTAATAGAGGACATAAGAAATATGGTAGAGATATTTAACTGGATTTTAATGGTTCTATACCTAATATTAAATATATAACAGTCACAAGTTTCCCAAGGAATATATATATATATATATATATATATATATATATATATATATATATATATATATATATATATATATATATATATATATATACACACCAACAGTGTTTCTGGGTTATATATATATAAACCAAACAAAGGATTTTGAGGCTGGGAATTTTGTCGGGAGAAGAAATAGAAGAGAGAACAATTAATACAAGGTGGAAGCTTCTTCATTAATTCAATCAATGAAAAATAATAATAATAATAATAAAGTGCATGAAAAGCAAAAAAAAAAAAAAAAATGAAAGCTAAATAAAAACAATTGCATGAGCCTAAAGTTTTGTCAACTTATGTACTTGACTGAAACTCTACTTGACATATTTAAAACCCCGTTAAATCTGACATGCAAGTTTTACACGGTGGGTTTGCTATATTTTCATAAATAAAACAATTAACTTCGAAGTAATTTTAATCATGCAATTCCTTTTATTAGTTTTACGATGTGCACATGTTATATATTTAACTTTTTTTTACAGCAAAACTTTATTAAAAGAAAGAGGTAGAGATTACCTAAAAGTCTAAAACCTATAATTAACTTGGAAATAATTTAAACTGTGTATTAGAATAAAACAAAATTTTAATATTATTAATCACGCTTTTACGTTTAACCGTGGAAGGATCATAAATTAATATGTTGTAGTCTATAAGATGCTTACACCAATATTGAAAAGTTTCAAAGAAACACAACTTACAGCAGGTAATTTGCATACTCTAGTAGAGGCGCAGTTGTTACTCTTCCAAGTTGCCTGGCCTTGGCCGTCGTAATTACCACCAGTCATCGTCAACTTATCGACACCCTCGATCTCGATCCAACCATCAGTTTTGAATTTTGCAACCTCCGGTGGGGCTTTGATAGTTGCTCCGGTGGCCTTGATCTCAATCGGACCCTTGCATGGACCTTTCAGTTGAATAGGAGCTGCGAAATAAGTCCCTGGTGGAATTAAAACCGTTTCTGGTAATAATCCTCCACCTAATAATCCTCCACATGCTTCTTTCCAAGCGCTCATAATAGCCTAAATGAAACTCCGTGACAAATATAACAGAACAATATTGACGTCGGATTCATTTTTACCGTTAGTAGAAAACATTTATCAAAACACCACAAAGCAATTTATTTAACTATTACCGGGCCATCATCGGTTTTGCCGTCGCCCTTAGCACCTTTAGTTTTTATGTCCACAACCGCTGCTTGGTACTTTACAATCAGTGGGATAAGAAACAAAGAAAATACTGCTCTTCCAATGGGTTTTGTTTTAACCATTTCAGTGGAAGTTCTTATATATAACTGGTTGCGTTTGTTCTTTATTATGAGGCTTCTAATGCACCAAACTAGAGATGATAAAAGAGGCAATGCATTTATAGGATATATATAGGAAATTCCTAAATAAATTAAGGCAGCAAGTTTATTTAGGGAACTATTCTTTCACGATTTCACCAAACATTTGAGACAAACGTTTCAGATTCTAGCATCCATGTCTAACGTGATTTTCGAATTTCATGTAAACATATTGTATTTAGCCATTTTTTTCTACTTTAAAAATTCTAATATTGGTTCTCATTGCATCATTCCTGATTTGAGCCTTTTGATTGATCCATGTTCACATTTGAAGAAACTATTGTCCATCATATCACCTTAGTGGTTCATATATCACTACAAGAAATCACCACAATAGCGGCCTCGCCTTTAGTTCCTACACCACATATAGCGGCCACATTTAATGTACACTTTTGATGTAGTTATTGGTGGTGTCACCGCTAAAAGTGTCACCACTATTGATACTAAACAATGATCTGAGTTCTTAGTTCCAATAGAAACCTAACCGTCAATCGCATGATGGATTCAATGGTTGGCAGTTGATTCATTTGTTGGAATTGTCGCCATCAGCCTATCACTGCTAAACCCCCCAAAATAGAAAAAGCCGCAACATCTTCTCTCCGCTACTTTCTCTTGTCGCCGGTAATACGTTGCTCCTTTAGAGCCCCTTCTCCCCCGATCGATTAATTCTCATTGAGCTATAATAAAATAAACCGACAATCAAAGTCCACTGTGCCCCAATAAGGATGACAATCACACCCAGAGCATTCCACATTACTATTGTTACTCACCACTAGAGCTTTTCTACAAAACCCAACCAGTTCACTATAAAACTTTGTCGTTTCTAATGCTACCGACGACCAACCCTGACCACCATCGATTAAGACAAAGCAACACCACCTACCATCTATGGTTTATTTTCAACCACCACTCTCTGCTACCACCTAGTACCATCGCCTGCTGCAACCACCTTAAGGTTCTAATTTTCCTTAAAAGTTATCGATTTTCCTATTGATTCTTAGTGTTAAGTTCTAAATCAAGAGATGCTTCAAATTTAATGTTAATATGCTTTGAAAGTTCTTAATATGTTTAGAAAAGGCTTAATGAAGAGTTTCTACTTATTTGATGTGTTAATATGCTTCGAAACTTCTAAATGGTTTCTTAAGGGCTTAATTGATACAAACTTAATTGATAACTACTTAATTGTTAAGGGTTTAATTAGACAAGTCTAAAAGTTATTTTTATTGTGACTTAATTATTAAGGCCTTAATGACGTTATTATTTGTTTATTGTTATTAGTTATGATGTGCATTGTGTTGACTTAATTAGATAATAACATGCTTTTTTTTGAAGACTTTGTCCATTAGACATTGATCTGTACTTCTTTCTATGGGTGATCTAGGTGTATGCTATGGCTTTCCTTTAGGTGTTCCACCTTGGATTTTGTGGTGGTTCAAGCCAACTCTGGGACTGTGAGGATTCGGTGGTAGATTTGCCGACGTAAGGTGCTAGCGACGGTTGTGGCTGATCCCATGCATATGTTAACTATGATTGTTCTGTTGATAGTCAATGGCATGGCTTGCAGTTAGAACAATGTCCGTCGTCCCAACAGCATGTTGTGTTTCGTCAAGTAACGTATTACATAGAACTCGATTGCCCGTGTTACACTTTCTCTCCCATCATAGCTAACTAGTGTGAAAAGGAGGTGTATGGTACCTAGTGGCCATAGGTTGTGCCGTGTGAAGCCTACTAATGGATCCCCAGTTGGTGGTTTTAGGTCTTCTTTCATGGAGGTTGGTAATTACCTAAAGCGGTGTTCGTACAAGATGCCGGTGCTACTTCTATTTTCTATAGACGTGGTAGATATGCTTTTTTCATATGCATGTGTTGATGTGGAGTTAATCATTGGGGTCCTGGTTGTGATGATATGGGTGTGCTGACGAGAAGTTGATGTTTCAGTTCGTTTGTGATAGTTCATCTACGTCATTCATTTGACGACATGCATGCTCATTGTGTAGCCTCTTGATTGTGAAGGTTTTCCGATTTTGTTGGTTTTCGTCGGTTTCTCGTCGAAGTTTGGCTTTCTCCATGCTAGTGCTGGATTTGGTCAATCAGTTGATCCTGCTGACTGTTATGGTTAAGGAGTTCATTTATAGGTGTACAACCTACTGTTAGACTGTGAGTCAATACCGCTCGTGTGCTGAGAGAAGGTTGCGCTTTTGGCATAGGCAAACCTAGTGCCATCAATGGGTGGGTTCGATTTGTTCACACTAGGTTCACCAACGTTCTGATAGCCCGACGCCTTTATTCGCGGTTGTCGATGTCTAGTGTCATTTTTACTGGTTGTCTAACTCTGAGTACACACCCGGATGGTAGTAGATGTTGTAATATGTCGTCCGAGCTTAACTCCATCTCTAGGTGGACTAAGCCTGAGAATCACTGCACAGAAGGAGAGACCATTAGACGTCATCCGGGGAAGAATTCCAGAACGAAGCTGCGATGGTCTAGTCAGTAATGAGATGAGAGAATTTGAGTTATACTGGAAAAAGTAATGAAAATGGCGATCCCTTCTCTTGGAGGATAAGGGTTCTACTTATACATGTAATCTGGGGGACAAAACCCCGACAATACCTTTTTTTCTCTTTAGAGCCGACATGATATGGGGGCATCCTATTGTCGGGTTGTGATCCTCTAATGGTTATCTTCTATTGGTGCAAAGTCCCCAGAGGAGAGGACCATGCCCTAAGCGTTACTCCCGAGGGTCTGGGAAGAGGCTAGTATTGTTTTTTCATGGAGCTAAATTTGTTCCTTGTGCACCAAGGGATGAGTCTAGGGCTGCGAGGGTGAGGGTCCAGCCTCAGTGTCAAATAGGTGATGCCCATTGAGCATGTCGTATTTAATTGTTCTGTTATATTTTGCATATTCCTAAAGGGATATGCTAACACGTAACATCCCAAAATTTATAAGTTAAAAACTTTGTTTTTGATTCAAACATAATCACCATTTATCCTTTTTAATCATTCAAAAGTATATGAAAATAAAAATAGTTATCAAAGTACAATCCTAAAATCATAAAGTGCATAAACGTGAGTGGTTGCACTGCGATCATGTCGGGCCCTTCCCTTTCGAACCGGAAGTACCTGACACCATAAACATAAACTTTAAGCATAGAGCTTAGTGAGATCCCCAAAATACCGTATGTCATACATACATTGGGCCCCACCCGACATCAGACCCTACCCGTTATACGTATAAACACATACAACACATGCAATAGTCATAAAGACAACTAACATACTATAACATAATCCAACGGGTTGGCAGTCGTGCCTTCAACCCGTAAGTACAGCGACATCTAGCATGCTATAACACACTCATCAAGCCCCGCTTGGCATAGGGCCCTACATGGTATACATATAAACACATACAATACATGTAAAATTAACAAAGACAACTAGCATAGCAGATCCTACTGGGTCAACATTGTTGCCTTCGGCCCACGAGTACGGTGAAGAGACTCACGTGAATCACAAATATGATCTTGGCTAACTGCTCTCCTTCCAAAATACGAGTGCTCGACACCTCCTATCAATCAATACAAGGCAAACACTAAGTCAACTTTCTAAAAATAGAATTTTGACCAGAATTCAAACTAAGAAAAAAGTCAATGGTCAAAGTCAAAGTCAACATCCTATAATATCAACTATCCATCCTCACATATTGACCAGCCCTTGGTCACATTGTGAGAGCTCACTCGGTCTGATTCTGATTGATCACGACTCACCCTAGCCAACTCAATCAAGGAATGACACCTGAGTTGACCTCACGATGTGGGCAACCTTTCCTTATGTGTGAGCCCTAAGAAGCTCTTCAAAAATGGGATTAAGCACTCGTCACGACATGAGACCTTTTGTGTCATGTCATGAGAATAGTCTAAAACCAAAAATCTAACTTTTACGTCCTTAATCCATTAGTCCTTGAACTCTAGCTTTCCATAAGGTCTTATAACTCCTTAATACACTTGAAAGTTGATGCTTTGAAGACATATATGTCCAATACATTTCTAGATCTCATGTGGGTCAAAAGTTAAAGAAAAATACATCCAACTTTCGTGCAAGGTTCCAAAACCGAACCATTCACTAGATCTAAACTCCATAACACTCTTAAGGCCATTATAACCAATAAGGTGCGAACATTATGGTTTGTATTCGTTAACTTGCTTAACCAAAGAGAAAAGTGGGACAAGACTTAGATCTAGCCTTATATTACAACAAAGATGGAAACCTTAACACTTATAATGGTCCAAAAACAATGTAAGTTGATGATGATGTTGATTCCTTGCAAGCCTCCATAAAAGATCACCCACATCTTCTTTTCTTTTTCTTCTTCCAAACCGAGAAAGGATCCAAATGACCAAAGCTCAAGCAAAGATGAAGAATAGGGTTTTTATTGGATAAAAGAGGGGTTGGGACTGATAAGAAACCCTCAAATGAGTTTATAAGTGCTTAAATACGAAGGAAACCCTAAAAGATCATGGGCTTGGGCTGCAGTGGTTCTCATGTAGTTAGAAGTCTGTGTCTGATGTCGTGAGACCAGTCCCACATAACAATTCATCTTAACCTACCTCACGCCATGAGCCTCTTATGCCTCACGTCATGAGGCACCTATTTCTCCAAAATCCAACCTTTTGACCCCCTTGAAATCCTAATTTTATTTGTCCAGGAAAATGGGTGTTACATGAGGATTACATAACAACTGCATAAACTCTAAAATAATTAAGTTACAACAAAAACAAAACTTTAGGTTTAACAACTTAGGTACAAATAAAAAAAGATTAACAAATCATCAAGCCATTATTAATTAAGTATTTAACAATAAAGTACTTAAAAATGAAGTCCTTAATAATTATGACCATAAATTTGAAATCATGTTCCAATCAAATTAGCAAATCCCTAAGGCTATGACTAATTCACATACATACATACATGTTTGCATATAGACATATACATACATTCATGTTTGCATACATTATACAAACATATACATTATACATTTTTCATATACCTACAATATAAACACATATACATACATTATATAAGCATGCATTCCTCATTGCATACAAATATGTATATACATAAGTAATTCCAAGTTTTCAGACATATAAATACACTTAGGCCTGTAAATACACAACGTATACACTTTTATATATACATTAACTGTAAATATATGCCTGATACATACACAAATAAATAAAGGGATAATGTCATTATAGCCCAATGAAGTTTTGGGTTTGGTCTGCATTGACCAATTATGTTATTTTTTTTTTATTTTTTTTGTACAATATGCTACCTAACTTTTACTGTGCATGTCAATTAAACCATTATTGCTAGCTTTTAACCATTGCTCCGTTAACCTGTTATTCTAAATTACACAAATAACTCATATGGTTTAAATTTCGTTCGTAGTTGGTCCCTTACCGGCTATGATTTAAATTACACGACCAAAACTGCCACATTTCTGAAAATGTGGGGACCAAAGTGTAACGTTTGCTAATAATTAATAATTAGCATAATTAATATAATTTTTAAGAAACCCACAGTTCATCACCGACCTCATCACTTCGTCTCTCCAACTACAAAATCTGCTCATTCTTTCCCTCTATTGACAATGATAGTTTCTCCAGACCTAAAGGATTTTAGATCGATCATCGTAACGTTTCTACAATTTGAAATTCAAATCTGTATGGAAACAAACATCTCAATGATCAGTGATGCCCTAGAATTAATCATCACAACTCCTTGATATCGTCTACAATCTGAAATTTTGACTCTAACTCTATGATGGAAACCTCCTTCTCCAAGGAAGATAGGGCTTCCTAGTTTGTGATGTCTTTTCTCATGAATAATATCAAATATTAAGTTCTATTTTACCGTAGAGGTCTCTCCAAAGACGACGATCAAGTTCCATGGTTTGTTAATCTTCACTAAGTCAAATTTTCTTTTGTTTATGTGTGTTCATATGATTAAAGGGAGTCGTTAGTTTGAAACGGGTGTGCAATTGGTGTTCATTCCAAGTTTTTTCTAAACTATAAGGTTTTTAGCTTATGTATTGTAAAGTAGTGTTCCATATGTCAAAGTTATTACCCTAGGGATTTGATTTTGCATATTCTTTCTTCTACTGTAATAAAGATAGTCCAGTCATACCAATTATATACCAAATATAATACAATGTGTATGGAATTGAATTCGATGAACCATTAATCGCTAATCAATTTGAAGAAAACTTGTCTTGTACGGGTTGAATTTGATAAACCCGAAATGGTAATTTCTGTATGGTATATTTCAACCAAATTTAATGGCGAAGACAATGACAATGTTACACTTTGGTCCCCTTAATTTCAGAAATGTGATAGTTTTGATTGTATAATTTAAACTATAGCTGGAAAAAGACAAACTACAAAAGAAATTTAAATCATAGCGGTTATTGTGTAATTTATAACAACTACTTAATTAACGGATAAATGGTTAAAAACTAACGATAATGGATTAATTAACATGTATAGTAAACGTCAGATGACCTATTGTGCAAAAAATAACATACTTGGTCAAGTGGACTAAACCCAACACTCTATCGTGCAACAATGACATTAAATGAAGTGGAACTTGATTCCGATTCCTGGCAGCAATAAAGAAGGGTGGTTGTGTTGTGGTGGACGTATTCTAGTAGTAAAAAGAAACAGCCAACCTAGATTCCATAATCATGAAATTTTGTAAAATTAAACTTTGTATCTTTGTAATCACGAGAAGGAAAAGAGCATAAGAAGATAGGGAGAGAAGAACTTGTGGTGGTCGTCGGTACCATGGGGGTTGTTGGTGATGGATTAATGATGTTAGTGAATGTGGCTCCTTGTGGTAGTGGGAGGTCAAAATCAATTAAACCAAGACGAAATCTCCGAAATAAGTATGAAATCGTCGGAGAGAAGAATTGAGAGAAATGGAAGATATAGGTGAAATAATGAACGAAAGAGGGATTAATCAATGACAACTTTTAGCGATAATAGTTGGCATTTAACGAAGAACCATTGGAGGGAGCAGTTTTTCCGAGTATTAGTGGCGACATTTGTCATCGTTATTGATGCCGTCAGAATTGTTGTTGTACGACACAAGATGACAGCCTTTGGATCGATACAACATATCAAAAAATATGTTTACCTCTTGGCAAAAGCAGATCATTTATTTGGTAATAGTGATGATACCATTAGCGGCGATACCAAACAAATATGTTAGTTGTTACAACTAATAGTGGTTATCATTGCTAATGACTTCGTCACGATAACTAATTATTCTTGTAGTGACTTACTGTGACCACATGACATCTCCATATCTTAAGAAGTCAAATTGTTCTCGTCATATATTTTAACGACACGCCGTCACTAAATCTCCATTTATAGCAATGAAATATTTCGAGGCATCGTGTAGGTACCTTTTCTTGTAGTGACAAGTAAGAAATGTATTAAAGAAGTATATCAGTCTAGCACTACAAGAAATAAGTCCTATGCCGACGACCGCTATGCACACGACTTAAGTCGTTGGTACTGTTTCATCTATATATACCACATGTTGTCGGTATATAGTTGACTAAATTTTTTTTACGTAAGAATATATAGAGACGATAACTCGCCAATATACCATAAGCAGGAAAGAAAAGTTTTACGCGGTTTCCTCAAAACTTTTGCTGACGATATGTCGTTGGTATAGTTTACGCTAAATATGATTTTTTATATATTAATATTCCATTTTGTAGAAAAAAGAAACGACGTCGTTTTGTATGGGTTATACCGATGACAAGTCGTCCCTATAGAATGATAGCGATCTGCGTGATACTCCGTGTCGACACTGGCGACTTGTCGTCTGTAAATATATTTCTTATTTATTTTATTTTTAATTTAGGAAAAGGGTAAACGACGTCGTGAGACTTAACTCTTTACTGACGACATTTCGTCGGTATAGAGTTTTAAGTCATCTGCTTCGTTCGACCCCCTTTCTTTTGCAGCGCCCCACCAAAAGCTAGTTGTCTTTCTCTCGGTCGACGATTATCCGTCTAAAGGACCTCTGGCCACTCGTCTTCACCACTGACGACGACAATGAGATTGAGAACAATGAAGATTCTCATTGATCTTTTATGTTATATTTGAACAATGTTTGTTGAAGACTTGTTTATTTATTTTTATTTTTTTAACAATGTTTGTTGAAAACTTACTTTTTTTTTTGTTATTTTGCTATGTAGTATTTATTTATTTATTTTTTGAGTTTTAATGGTTTGTTAAATTATATGATTATTAAGTATTTGATATTATTCTGCATATATGCTGTTTGGATTGTTGTAAAAAAACAGGTTTAGTATATATAACAAAACCTATGAAAATATTTAAAAAAATAAATAAATAATAAAAACTATACAGATGACAAGTCGTCGGTATAACTTTATAACTGTAATAACCGTTTTACTTTTAGAGACGACATGTGACTCTGATTAAAATGGAAGTTATCAGCCACCACTTTTCCAGACAACATGTCGTCTGTATTGCTTAAACCTGTCCAAACGAAATGTCGTCGGCAAAGGTGAGCTTTATACAAACGACAGGTCATCGGAATTGGTTTATAATAAAACTTTTCTTTTTCGTCGGAAATCGGTCTCGAAGACCCTTTGACGAGGACATGTCGTCTAAATTGGTTGCTCTGTACCGACAATATTTATCACGATATTTTCCACTTTTACCGACGGGGCTATCCCGACGACTTTGTACAAACGCCAAGTTGTTGGTATAGGTATAGGCTCGTCAGACGACATGTTGTCTGGATAGTTGTCGAAAATGTCGTTGGTAAAGGCCTCATTCCTTGTGGTGTAGCTAGGTCCAACAAATATAACAAATATCATTAAATGATCTACTTATAATAGACTCCATAAATTTTGCTTATATGTACCATCGGTAAATAAAAGTCTCCAAAACAAATATCGTGCATCACAATTTCAAGCACTTGATATATTTTCATATATATATAAATTCCTTTCTGCAACTCGTGAATGATTGGATCCACTTTTTTCCTATGAAAATTCCGCAAGCACTTAAGGACAAGCCGGAGGGACAACTTGACCCACAACTTTAGGTTTGATGTTTTTACACTCAGAGGTGGCAGGTCCTCCAGGTCCTTGCAAATTGATATCAGCAACCTCAAAATTCTGGCATGTCCCGGGGCTGCAAATAAGCTTCACTGCTACCTTAGTTGTTGATGATCCCTTGATCTTCCTAAAGCTCACATTTGACAACTTCGTTTTTGAAGGTCCTTTCTAGTAGTCATAAACGAAAAATATGTTCAACCCTTTATGTGAATATAACTAAAGTAAGTGACTAAGTGTGTAGAATTATATGTTAGATACCTGGCATTTACCAGAAGGACAATATTCTTGATCGACCAGTATCGGATTTCCCACTTTTTGCATGATTATATCTTCAAAATGCATGTCACTGGCGCTACCTGGTGTGCCAGCTGGCCAGGATTTGATCCTGAGTCCATTGTCAGTGCCGGTGATGGTGCAGTTTTTGATCCAGATTCCTTGTACAGGTGCTTCATTTGGGTATCTACCGAGGCTTCCAATACTGATGCCATGTCCTGGTCCGCATGTCACTTTCTCGATATGGACGTTCTTGCTTCCATCTCCAAACGAAATGCAATCATCACCTGTTTTGATGTTTGTGTTTGTGATGTTGAGCCCATTTAGTCTCCCGATGTGAATTCCATCCGTGTTGAGACTTGTTCCAGGTGCATTAATGGTAACATGGTCAAGGTTGGAATTGTCACACCCCAATATGTTCATGTGAAAGAATTTGCTATTGGTGGAAGTTAAGTCTTTCACCACTGCATTCTTGCAGTTAGTCAATCTGATATTCTGACAATTAAAGAAGCCGAGAATTGTTAAATTCCAATGAAAGAAACATGTCCTGATAAATTGGTATTGAATTCTCAAACGTAATCATTCCGCTTTTATATTTGGATTTTTTTCAAACTTCATATTATTATCTTTACATATTTATGAGCTTTAAAAATGTGGAGTTGTTATATTTACCTATAAACCTATAAATTTGAAATATTTCAACGATCTTTAACAATAAAACGTGATTATATAATATTATATTACGCTATTACGTTGAACCATGGAATATCGAAAGGTTTCAAAGAAACACAACTTACAGCAGGTAATTTGCATACTCCAGTAGAGGCGCAGTTGTTACTCTTCCAAGTTGCCTGGCCTTGACCATCGTAATTACCACCAGTCATAGTCAACTTATCGACACCCTCGATCTCGATCCAACCATCAGTTTTGAACTTTGCAACCTCCGGTGGGGCTTTGATAGTTGCTCCGGTGGCCTTGATCTCAATCGGGCCCTTGCATGGACCTTTCAGTTGAATAGGAGCTGCGAAATAAGTCCCCGGTGGAATCAGAAGCGAGCTTGGTGATGGTCCTCCGCAGGCAACTTTCCAAGCATTCAGTATAGCCTAAATTAGTCTCGGTCACAAAAATAACCGATCAATATTAACGTCAACTCAACGTATACAGCTAGTAGGAAATTTTATAAAATGAAAAGATAACACGTTGTTCTCAAGCTATTTTAACAACGAAAATGGAATGGAAGTAAATGGAATGAAGTTTTACCGGGCCATCATCGGTTTTACCATCGCCCTTGGCGCCTTTTGTTTTTACATCGACAACTGCAGCATGGTTGTTTTCGATCAATACCATGAGAAGAAAACAAAATAGTGCTCTTGGAATGAAGTTTTCTTTATCCATTTCTGTTGAAGTTCTTCTTACGAGGTTGTGTGGTTTGTTTTTTGGGTTTTTAATTAGAGCGAATTTAGATATGGTAAGGCAGGCCATTTATAGGAGATATAGGAAATACCTAAATAGAGGTAGTAAGTTTATTTAGGGAATTATTCTTTCACATTTCACCAGAACATTTTTGCATACAAACGTTTCTCATTCTATGTAATTTCTCTCTCCAAGGTAAAAATATATAATGCCTTGAATCCTTTTGTAATTCCAAGCTAATTGATAGCCCTTGTTTGTTTTAGGCTTTGTCGTGTGGGTCTTCAGAGTAAGATGAGGAGGCACTCTCTTATTACACGTAATCAAAGTCCTAAAGCATGGTGATTCTCGAGTGGTGTAGGTTGGGTTATGAAGCATTTCAAAGGAGAGAGAAATGTTAATGGTAATATGACCCCATTTGACAGAATAAAAAAAAAATCTTCCAGTTTTTAAAACAAATTAATTTTTACCTACAAATATATACATATTTCACGCATATTTTCACACTATAAATATCATATAATGTTTTTCAAAGATTATGTACATTCTACACTACGAATGATCTTCCCCATCTTTATCCGCCGAAGATGATACGTTTTGTGACATTCCATATTTTTCATAACTGAAAAAATTCATTTTTTTTACTCTTTAAAAATTATATTATATTTGTGGAAAATTTCAGTATAATAAAATATTTTACAGAAATTATCTTGTTTTATTAAAATATCTTAACTAAAGATGTTATTTCACAATACTAAAACCCTATGTAATACACAACATATGTTATAGCGTAAAAACCTAACGATTTTGAACACTATTATAGGTTGTCTCTTAATAAATCATAATCATGTTCCAGTTACTTAAACTCTATTACCTGTGATGTATATAATTTGAGTGGGTTAGATTCGAAAACCTTGTAAAACACATAATGTTTCCAATCTCACGATATTATTATGATAATAATTTATAATTATCAAACCTACAAAATCAATTGTTGCCAAACAATATAGATATATCTCATAACTTAGATATTTATGGACCTTACACCTATAGATACCCATCCTAACCGATTCTCAGAAATCTTAATCGGTAATGACCGTTTTAGTTAAATAAGAGTAGTGATTTTTTTCATAAAAACCGAGCAACAAAAGTTATAAAATTTACCATAACTTTTGAGTATATTTTCAAAACAAAATCACCAAGGATCCTTTAAAAGATGTTAGAATGATATTAAAGTTAACCATAGTTTGTTTTAGAATGACAAATTTTGGAGCATTTGAACCGACTTCGTTTTAGGGTGTTAAGGTAGATGACAAGAAATAAATCTTGAACTTCTCTACAAGTAATCCACTACCAAGAGTAAGGTTCAAAGAAATGTTGGCTTCCTTCTTGTATCTTATGTTTCTTAAGCCTTTAAGTGTTTAATACAAATAAGAACTAAAGGAGAAAGCACAATGCAAGGTCACCAAATGGCAAAAAATAATTTCAAAAGAGAGCAAAAGGAAATGGAGAAGAGAGGCTACACCTACTTGGTCTTTTTACAGAAAAGAGTGATCTTTTTTTAAAGCAACACTCTCTCTTTATATATCCAATGCAAAGCAAAAAGGCTATACAATATTAAAATATAAAGTATTTGTCTAAAAAAGAAGTATGGGGGACAAGGAGGGAGGTTGACAAGCAACCTCCCACTTTCCTAAAAACTTCGTCCATGGCCTAAGAAGGAAGATAAAATTTGTTTCTTAGTTCCTTTAACTAACAAAGCAATTTATCTAGTTAATTCATGATTTGTCAAAGTGTCCAAAAACTTCTACATGACTTATTTAATCATACCATATGACATCATGACTAGTTTGTCTTTCATTTTTGTAACTCCCTGACTCTCAAAAACCAATTTATGGTTATAAATTCTCATGAATTCAAGGTCTTTCATCATGACTAGTTGGTTTCCTGACTCATCGAGTAGCAGCAAGTTTGGGCCACATGTCTAAGTAACCAACTCGTAGAGTCGGAAGAGTGACTCAACGAGTTGGAGCTGGAGGGTGAAACGCTAATTTCCGGGGGTTGGCACCCTATTTAAGGGACCATTAGTCTCCCTTAGTTCCTTTGCAGCCTCTTTAGAGTCCATAAACCCTAATTCGTGTGAGTGTGCTCCATTTGTGTGTTTTAAAGCTTTGGAAGGTGTATCTTTGTAAGAAGAACTTGAAGAGAAAGTGACTAGGAGCAAAGGACTTGTGGGGATCTGATATCTACCTTAAATGACATCTCTTGGAAGGTATCAAGTCGTTACCTTGAACTCATTTCATTTTAGATCTCATTGGTTAAAGTTTTCGTCTTTTCTAGCATATTGTGAAGCTATTTTTGGGTATGAGCTCAGATCTGAAGTTGTAACACCAGATCTGAACTCTCCTTGCTCTCGAAATCCATAAAGCTATCAGATTTGGCAAGTATGAACCCCTCCTTAAGTGTAAACCCCCATTTCAAGCTTGGTTTTGGCATTTCAAGTCATAAGAGCCTTGCGTGCACATAAAGTTTGAAACTTTACGAGATAAGCATGCCTTGGGAAGTTGGATCTGTAGTATGGAGCCTTAGCATGGGTTAAAAAGCATTTGTATGGATGAAGGACTGAAGGGACTCGACGAGTCGCATTATAGACTCAGCGATTCATATAAAGATGGCGATGAACTCGACGGGTTGGATGAACAACTCGGCGAGTCCGATGAAGATTGCCTTGGGCTCGGCGAGTGGCGTGGTGACTCGGCGAGTTGGCAAGTTATGCAAGGAACTCGGCGAGTAGCTAAGGGTACTCAATGAGTTGAGGTCAACATGGACTGATGACCTTGATAGTTGACTTTGAATTTGACCAAGGGTTGACCGTTTTGTCTTTTGAGGATAATTGGTAAGCGGGTATTTGTGAATTGGATCTTTGATGGTTATAGGTGTTGGAGTTTGGGGCAATGTTTCAGGAGCATGATCTTGTGGTTTAGTTCGGCATTGCAAGGTGAGTTATCCTCACTATATCAACAGGGTCTAAGGCACCAAGGCCAACCCTATTTTTCGGATTTTATACTTGTAACACCCCAAAATTAGGTAGGCCAAGAAGGAAAGAAAACCCTAAGTCATAGGGACAACTCGCCGAGTCCAGTGCGAAACTCGGTGAGTCCGAGCGGGATCCAGGTTCAGGAGTTAGTGACCGACTCAGCGAGTCGGCTATGGGGACTCGGCGAGTCTGGTCTGAGCGAGGAAAAGCCTAAATCCCAGACCTAGAGCCTATTTAAGCGTCTCATTCTCTTCCCTAAGGTTCCTTTACTGCCTCTCTAACCCAGAACACCGAACCCTAAGCCCCATTATTACTCTTTCAAGCTTCTAAGCCATTTTTGAGTGATTTGAAGGAAGAGGGAAGAGGGAAATCATTGAAGCCTCAAGGATTGGCCTTAGATCCAGAGCTTGTGGAACCTTTCAGAGTTATTGAAGGTACTAAGTCGTTTCCTTCTTTTAGATCCATTCTACTTATGAGTTTTAGGGCTTTTAAGCCATGTTTATATATTCATATGAGTTAGAAGCCAGATCTGAGGTTGCTACTTCAGATCTTTGCTCATTTTGGTCGGGTGAAGCATAAAGTAACTGCCCTTGAGTTGATTATAGAGCCTCCTTGCCTTAAACCCTAGTTTATGGTGTGTTTAGCCTAGATCTCCTTCTCTACACGTAAAGTTTGCAACTTTACGTGACGAATAGGCTTAGGAAGGGCAGATCTACAGTTTGGAGTCCATGCGTGACTCAAAAATCCCCTGCATGTATGAAGATATGAATGGAATCGGCGAGTCCTTTGAGTGGACTCGGCGAGTAGCATGAAGTTGGGCAGGAACTCGACGAGTTGGAAGAACAACTCGGCAAGTCTGTTGAAGATTGCCTTAGACTCGACGAGTCTGTTCTTGGACTCGGCGAGTCAAGTCGCGAAACCCCAAACCTTTTCGAGTTAAGACTCGGATCAATGAGTTGAGTGGGGACTCAGTGAGTTGGATAGGCCATGACTCGAAAATCGGTGAACTCGACGAGTCAGCAAGCAGACTCGGCGAGTAAGGTTGACCTTGACCAGGACTTTACTGTGACCAGAGTTGACTTGGTTGTCTTTTGAGGGATAGTTAGACTAAGTGTTGCATTGATATTGGTAGCTCGGGGAGCTAGTGGAGCAGGAGTTCAAAGAGTTGCCGGGTAGCAGCTAGAGGGGTTATCAGCAAGTTCAGCAAGTGTAGATGAGTTTCCCTTTGTGTGAATGGGTCTAAGGCCACAATGCCGGCCCATGTAGATACGAGTAGGAAGACCCGGTGGTTAGCCCTAGGCACAATATGCTAGTATGATATTCAGGATGAGGTCCAATGAGAGTGGGCGGGCGCCCAAGGAATGGTTTATATGATAGTTTATACTTGTTGTCTGTGTGATACATGTATGTGCCTGGTAGGGAGGTGAGTGTAGGCGAGGTCCCGTATCTTACCAATAGCAGAGTGTGGATGGTGTTCCACATCTCATTAGCAGCAGAATAGGGGCGAGGCCCAAGTTAGGGAAAGAGTGAGTGTGGGCTGGGCCCGTATCTCACTATCAGTAAGGGAGTGGATGGGGTTCCATGACTCATCAATAGCAGGACAATGGCGAGACCGAAGATAGGCGAGGCCTCAGGACAGGATTTGTGACTATATGTTAGCTTATGTGTTGTTATATGCTTATGTGCTATTATATGTTAGCGGGTGGGGCCCAGTGACAGGAGAGGCCTAAGTTAAACAGATATGTATCCGAGCGGGGCTCGAAGCCAGGCGGGGCCGTTGTAGCGGGCGAGGCCCAGGATAGCGGGCGTGGCCTAGTATGTGCAGTATGTGGTTATGCATGGTATGTGGTAGGGTGGGGAACTCACTAAGTTTCGTGCTTACGGTTTTCAGTTTTGGTTTCAGGTACTTCCGGTAGCGGAGGGGAGAGCTTGGGGTGATCGCATGGCACGCACCATAGATTAGACAGTCTGGGAATGTATTACTCTGATAACGATCATGTGTTTTCGAAATTAATACTCTGTTTATGTTTTGGATTGATGATTTTGCTTTATGTAATGTTGTATTAAAAGAAATTTTTATTCTTGAATTTTGGGTCGTTACAAGTTGGTATTAGAACCTTGGTTTGAGGGATTCGAACATGCTCCCGCGTGTGTCTAAACTCTAACTTAGGAATTGGTATAGAAGTTTTCAAAATAGTAAGACAAATTGTAAAATGAGAGTTTTGAGAAAGAAAACAGTTTTAGAAAAGCAAAAAGAATTCAAAAAGAAAAGAATTTTGATGAGAGAAAAGGGTGTGGTGCATGCAATCAGCCGAGCTCAAGTAAGTACCCCAAAATACCCATACAAGTTTATGTTATAGAACATCATGCTAGATTAGGACTAAGGATCTACGGAGGATGCCTTATGTGCCTGTTATATGTGCTTTGAGCTGCATGATAGTGCTGATTAGATAGTAGTA